GTGAAATAAAATTTGGATCATGCCAAATAAATTTGTTTGGGTTAAATTAAGAAAAACATCAGATTAATATCTTGTCAACAATATGACTGATTTGGTTAAAGCCTCAAATGTATCATTACGGAACAATTTTGAAATTCTTATAATTTAACATTTTTATATATTTCAAAAGACTTTCTAAGGATTATATATATTTTTAATATTTTATAATATTTACAAAATATTTGTAATTTTTATATATTTTTTAATTTTTTTTTTGTAATTTTTGTTTAGAGGGACCAAGTTACATATTTTTGAAACTGTTAGGGACCCAAGTTGTACTTATCAAAATTTGTAATTCGGATTATTTGAATGGAACAATTCAACTGACTCAAACTTGAAAAATCAAAGAATCCAAATAACTCAATTTGAGAAATCGAATTAGATCGAGTTTTGCTCACACCTAATTACAATGGCTAATTCAAAGCAAAATAAGGAAATCAAACTCCTTCCTGCTTCCTCCGGCATATGTCAGCTCTATTTCTAGTTCCCTCCCTGCTTCCATGTCTGCTCCCTAGTCCTTTCTATATATTTGTATGAAGAGTCGATTAGTGGAATTGGGTAGCTTTGAGGATATATGTGAAAGCTCAAAGGTGGCTGCCTCTATATCGTTGCATGTCATCTCAATCATATTTATATATTATTTTCATGAATTTAATCATGCTTGATCTGAGGTGCATATGACACCAGATCAGCAGAGGATTATTTATGTAGGAATATTATTGGTATTTTTCAATTTTGTACCATAAAAACAGGAAGGAAAAAAAATCTCTTTTCTATCTTCTCATTTTGTTTCTTCAGCCCATTTCCTTCCAGAGAGATTGTAATGTAGAGGTTCCAGAAGAGCCCTTAAGGATGTTTAAGGAAACAGGCTCAATTCACAAGACTGGAAAGCAAGTTGTTGTTTAAGTTGGGGGATCTTAAGACTATAACTGTAATCTATGTTGCACGGGGACAACAAAGGAAGGACGTTTCAAGTACCCGAAACGTCCCTGGCACGGTACGGCCGAACGATAAGGGGGACGTTTCGGTGCTCGCTGGGGACGTTTCACTCGTTTCTCACATGACTCCTCAATCTCCATTACCATCTATATATATTGGCATAGCAGCTTTCCCTCTCGAATCAGATCAGTAATCCTCCAACAATTAAACTGCAAGAAGGTTAAAAACTCCGTTTCTCTATTCGTTTTTCCTTCTTTGCAGTGAAAATGGCAGAGCCTGCAACAGCAACACAAGCAGCAGCAGCAGCAGCAGCAGTGGCTCTGCTGAAAGATGAGCTCGACATCGTTATACCAACCATAAGGAACTTGGACTTTCTTGAGATGTGGAGGCCTTTCTTCCAGCCTTACCATCTCATCATCGTTCAAGATGGTGATCCTTCCAAGACCATCAAGGTCCCCGAGGGATTTGACTACGAGCTTTACAACAGGAATGACATCAATAGGATCCTCGGTCCTAAGGCTTCATGCATTTCCTTCAAGGACTATGCTTGACGTTGCTTTGGTTACATGGTCTCCAAGAAGAAGTATATTTTCACCATTGATGATGACTGCCTTGTAAGTTCCCTTCTATTTTAGTCGATTTTTTGGATCTCTACATTGATTTGAATTCTTGTGGTGTTTTTGTAGTGGGTTTCTGTTATTTTGGTCAAAACAAAAGGTCTATGCTTTTATTGTTTTGATGTGAGATTTGGATTAACTCATTTGTTGAATCTCCTCTGTGCCCTTCATTATGGTGTCTACAAAGTTCCCTTCACATGGAGTGCACTTTTGGCAGCTTTGCACGTTCCTAAATCATGAAAATATACCTTACAATTATTAAGGGACTGCTTGCATTGTGATGTACAGCTATGGAATTTTAAAATCTTGGATGTTATATATTCATGTTACATGATGAACATCAATCTGCAAGTCAAGATCTGAGATTTGGGTCTTGTTTTTATTGTTGTTAGGTTGCTAAGGACCCATCTGGGAAAGCGATCAATGCACTCGAGCAGCACATTATGAACCTGTTATCCCCGTCCACCCCCTTCTTCTTCAACACCCTGTACGACCCGTATCGGGAGGGTGCGGACTTTATCCGTGGATACCCCTTCAGCCTCCGCGAGGGTGTTCCGACCGCTGTCTCTCATGGCCTTTGGCTAAACATCCCGGATTATGATGCACCAACCCAACTAAACTTAATATTGTGGTTTGAGTTTTGATATTTGACTTTATTTATAATTTTAAAATTATTTTATATGTCGTACCCTTGCCGTCCCCGTACCCTGTAATTTTAGAAATTGCCATTTCCTGTCCCCGTATCCGTATCAGTGCAACATAGACTGTAATACCCCGATTTTTGGGTCAGTAGTTTCGGTCAACTCAAAACCCGTCAATAGAGCCCATTAGATTTTTCAAGCTAAATTAGACCAATTCTTTAGAGTATTGGTTCTAAGGTAGGCCCAAGAATTAAGCTAAGTGGTAGTTCTAATTTGAGGTAAAAAAAAGGAGAGGGACCAAGTTAGCAATTTCCCATAGTTGTTTTAAAGGTGATAAACCCCTTTCTTCTCCAGAAATTACCACGTGAAAACCAAACTCAAAATATCCTCTCTTCTCTTCTTCCTTTCCTCTCCCACTGTTCAGCAAAGAAGTGAGAGCCTTTGAGATTTCAAGCTTAGATTGAAGACCAGAAATTTCCACGTGAAAACCAAACTCAAAATATCCTCTCTTCTCTTCTTCCTTTCCTCTCCCACTGTTCAGCAAAGAAGTGAGAGCCTTTGAGATTTCAAGCTTAGATTGAAGAAATTAAGGTAAGAATCTTAACCATCATTTCGTAAGCTTCCATTAGAGCCCTTAATTTCAAGTTTTGGTTTAGATTTTCAAAATTGGGTTTTTATGGGTTTAAGAAATTAAGTTATTCAAGCCATTTTAAGAAAGGATTTGAGCTATAGGGAATGTATTTAAGTTTTATTCAACCTCTAGTTGAGTAAATAACTCATTTCAAATACCTTGTTAGTGAAAGAGGTTGAAGAGAGTTCAAAAGCCAAAGGTAAAAGAAAGGTGGATTCCTAGTTGTTTGAGAGAGGTTATAGCATCCAAAGAATCCAGGTAACACATTATTATCTTTTTCATACCAGTTGTAGGATCATTAGAAAGAAGTTTAGCTTGAAAGTTGAGTATGAGCATGTTTATTAGCCTTCCATGGTAGATTTTATGTTTAATGTTTTCAACATGTTTCTAAGCCTTAGTTATGCTCCCATAATTTCACATAAGACTTAAAGAATGATTGGGGACCTCTTAGGATCTTTGGGTTATGAAAAAAAGAGTTTTTCATACTTGTTTTATGGTTTTTGCAGGTAGAGTATCGATATTATAGGGATAGTATCGATACTTGTTCTTCGTTTTTGGGTAAAATCATGTTTTCTGGGCAAGAGTTTCGAAACTCCTAGAAAGTATCGAAACTAGGCAGAACATAATGTTTAAAAGTATTGGTCCTTATATAAAGTATCTAAACCTTTGCAGGAGTATCAATACTCTCGGGCTATTACCAATACTTTCAGTCTGTTTTGGGCAAAAAGATCAGTTTTTGAGGGAATTAGACTCGAGGTATCCAACACTTTAATATATCATCAAATAAGACTACAAGTGGAACAATATTAATAGTTAATCAAACGTAGAAACCAAATAATTAAGGACAAATAAGACTAGCCTTGTTTGATGCTCGAGAAACGATTCGGACACCCCAATTCCTTTAGAAAAGCTAGTGGAGTCGAAAGTATAGATTCAGTCCGAATATATCTTTAGGTAGGGAGCAAGGCCCTTAAAACTGACTAACTAAGGCCGAGGCCTGACACTCGCAAAGGGTGGGTTAGTCAGGGATATGGTGTCCGAAGTAGAATTTCGGGTAGAGGGGTGCTTGAGCTCTGAGATGCAGTAATCCCTCATCCGCGCCATGATGTCTACAATAGCGTAGAGAGTGAATATCGCAAGGATATTCACCAAGCAGATTAGATCAGTAGACTTGATAGCTAACCTTTCAGTGATATGCAATTAGTATGTTTTAGCTATTAGTGTGTCGTTGAGCTAGTTAGCTCAGCCTTTGGATTGTTTCCGTAGGCATGTTAGTAGATCCAACAAGTGAGCAATAGTAGATAGACCAAAACCCAGTTCAGACCAGTACAGATTCAGAGTATGTCTCAACATTTTTGAAAGGGCATGTATATTTCTAAACTTTATTGTCCAGTTGAGTCGTAGTTTCAATAGAGCGGTCTGTATTATTTTTGTAAAGTGTGAATATTTTAATTTGGAGCTCCTCAGTGTAAAGATTTTATTTATTCTTCAGTTTATTTTACAGCTGTTTTATATTTTAAGAAAGTAAGAAAAAATTGGTCAACCACTTCGGTGGTTCTGTGTAGCACCTTAAATCGATCGACTTTGTGTCATACTAGTCTATGGTGTTACAATAACTACTCTTCCAACGGCATACTTACAAACTAAGGCCGCAAATAGTGTATGAAAACTAAAAAAACTCCTAGCTGAAATGTTTCAACCCTATATCGTTGTAGCTTACTTTTTCTCAAGCATCCTAAACTACATGGAAATTTTGCTCCAAATGAGTGTTTCAACAGAAGAAATCGCATTGTTCAAGATACAGGATCAAATAACTTTAATAAGATTTAAAATTCATATTCTACAAGAAATTAAAAAAATGCAAGAAGCCGATAACACAAAAATTTAAGTAGACTACAGTGTCATTTAAAGAACACATAAAAGTTGCCTAACATGCAAAGTTTTTCCATTGCTGAAAGCAAAGAAAGCATGAATCAATTTCTAACGATCGAAATCATTAAAAACATTGCATTTCAAGGAAAAATAACATCAAAAAAGAACCAACAGATATCCACAAATATACTAGAGATAAAGGCAATTATTAAGCAAAGAAATCAGTGAAAATAGTTCAACTAGAAAGAAATAGCAACAAACCTCAGTCATTTGTCTTTGTCCACAAATCACAGCACCAGTGCCCTTAGGACTATGAATTTTCTTAGCCCTAGCAAAGGCAGCCTGCAAAAGTCAAATTAGGTTACAATACTTTGATTATTATGGCATCAAACAATCTTAAGACACGGATTGAATAAATCACTCTACCTGTACATCGCCACTTTCACCAGTCCAACTATCATCCGGCTGTGATAATACTGGCACAATCTTGACACCAGAAGATTCCCAGTCTTTAAACCTATCCTTTAACATGAGAACAAACAAGAACTTCAGAATCAAACATAAGATTTTCTTGTTCTATAAAATTAAAGTCTAAAAAAATGAACAAGCCTGCCTCGGACCTGATAAGCCATTCTCCTAAGGTTTCTGGCACCAAAATAGAGCCTGACATCAGATCTCTTATCAGCACCAAATCCTGACTCAATGAGAGAGCGAATTGGACTGGAAATGAGAAAGTAAAGAGAACAAGTAAGTGGATAAATAAAATTAAGGGCTTTAAATAACATGTATCACACTGTTATCCACATTTGGAGGATGCGGGAGCTATTAAGCTATTAATTATTTAATTATTTCAGCTTTTTTTCTTTAATCAATTATTAGGCATGGGGATGGAATTACATCTTTAGAGCTTTAATCTAGGGCTATAATCAAATATTCATCTGTATCCTTCATGCAAATTGTCAGATTCTACTGTTAATTAACAAGTGGTCTTTAGGAATCTTTTAAGAAAAGGGAGTCTTATCTCTAGATAAAGTTTTGAAACCAATTCAAGCCAAATCAGCCAATTTGGTTTTGTTTTCCGTTTTACACCAAATAATGCTCAGCCTAATAAACAAAATAAGACTGGAGAACGGGTGCATTAGTTATATTGAAAGGGAAAGGTGTTACTGCAAATTGAAAAGCATACATATAAAAACAAATCCCATAAGCCTGCAAATCCATAGATTTATAGCAACTACTCAATCCATCTCTAAATATTAACTATTAAATGCTTTAAAACACAGATAAATTTGATAAACTAAAGAATCATGATATTATGGCATGAAAACTTTCGATCAGATCAACGTATTCGTGCTGTCAAATCTGAAAACTAAGAAGATTCAAACAGCTAGTTGTACACTAAAATATGAAGAAAAAAAACAATAATTGATATCGAACATGAAAACCACACAAAATTGGCCAATTAAAATATACTAGTTTGAAAATAGCGTGGTTAACAGATACTGATTCGTCCTTGAAGATTAAAAAGGGGATTTTAGGAGACCATGTACTCAATGAAGATCCACAACAACAACAAAACCCAATTCCCATATGTATGGGGTAGGGGAGGTAGGTAATAGGCTACCCAACGTCAGGTTGAGAGTAACTTCCGTGGAAGGCCGTCAGAAAATTAAAAATTTAGAAAAAATGAGCATGTATAAATAAATACATAAATACATAGCTAATCAGTATTCATATGCGGTCATTAAAATCATATGTGCGTCTGCAACTGGTGAAGATCCATACATGATTATGTGAGAAGAGAAAAATGCAAATTTCTGAGCTTCAGAGAGCATAAATTACAAGTTAATCACAGAAATGAGAAATCTAACCTGATTCCTGATCCAGTAGCGAAAATCAAAACCGTCTGATAATCTTCAGGCGGATCGATCTTATCAATATTAAAACCGTTTCCCATCGCTTGAGTAAGCTCCACCATATCCCCTTGCTTTAACCCGCACAAAAGCTCCGCCGTCGACCCCGCCACGCTATTCACCAAAAACTCGAACGCTCCAGTTGAGGCTGACTGTGAAGGCGGAGACGCTATGGCCAAGAAAGAAGGTTTCTCCACATCAGGGAGCCGCAGCAGGAGGTACTGTCCCGGAAAGATATGCGAGGCCGCGAGATCAGGAGAGTTGGACACGTCGATGGTAACGTGGAAGAGGGACTCGGCGGCCGTCTTGATTGATGAGATCGGAGAAGGGGTCCAGACGGTGGTATCTTGGCGAAGTGCAGCGAGAGTAGCGAATCGACGGCGAGGGGGGCGAGGGCGGGGGGTCAAGGAGCGGAAGGGGAGTCGGCACAGGATAGGCATGGGAAGGGGAGGAGCGCTACAGGGCGCATGTGGGGTGTAATGACGGTCATGGTCTGGGTGGAGAATTGTGAAAGAGAATAAAAAGATGGTTAGAGTGGCGGGGACTAGAGAGAGGCAGCGCAAAAGGTGGGCAGAAGCTGATGAGGTGGCGTTTCATAAAATGAGCCCATGAGCCACTTTTGGAGCTCCATGTGGCATTTAGAGGGTGTGATACCTTAATTCCGAGGGTAAGCAGTTTTAGGGTTTTTCGAATTGAGGATATTAATTTTCGTCCGACCCAAACACAAAGTGCAAATAGCCGTCCAACAGTGAACCCAACAGCAGCCCGACCCGAGATCGATCCAAGACCCGGTTCAGTCCCAAGATGAAACCCTAGCTTCCCTTATCTTCCCAACGCCGTCGAACAATAATCAGCCAACAACTTTGATTTTTCCGGCACACAAACAAGTCAAAAAAAATATATTAGTATTTGAGTTCCAGTGGCACTCGAAATCCGAACTAAAAATAATTTTTTTCTAGGTTATAAATTGATGCAATCAACACACCAAAATACACACAAGAATCAAGAGGAAAATACAAAAAATACGAGAAAGAAATAGTGAGAATCAGAGAAAAATTTCTGTAAATTTTAAAAAGAGATATCAAATATATATATTTAAATTTGTTTTTATTTTAATTTAATCTCTTATTATTATATATTTAATTATTTTTTCTTTCTGTTTTTTTATATTATTATTTTTAGTGTTTTATGTATGTATATATATATTCTATTTTATTTATTTGTTTTACTAATATTCTATATATATATATATATATATATATATATTTCCTTATTATATTTTATTTAAATACCGTTATATATATTTTTTTAATTTTTTTATTCTATTCTTTTTTTTACTATTTATTTATTCTTATTTAATTTTTTTACTTATTAAATATTATATTATATATATATATATATTACCTATATTTGTTATGATTATCTCCTAGACCTTTTTTTTTCTTCATGTCTTCTCTCTTTTTAACCAAATTTTCTCTTTTTTTCGATCAAATTTTCTTTTTTCGGTGAAGTGATTGTAGTAGGTTAGATTTATTTTATTTTTTTATTTTTCCTCTCTCATTTATTATTATTATTATTTTCTTTTGTACCTAATAGTTATATATATTTTTATTTTTATTTTTTCATTATTACTTTTTTATTTTTTATTTATTTTTTCTTCTTCTTTTTTTCTTCTTCTTTTAATTATTTATTTATTTATTTATTTTCGTAATTTAGTTAACTTATTTGGTTTTTAATTTTTATATATTTTGTATTTATTTTCTTTTTATTTCGTGACATTTTTATAGTTATTATCTTTTTGATTCTGTATTTTACTTTAGCTAACATTTTTTCTGACCTTTTTAAGGGTACGCTTTAAATCTATTAAAGGTGAGTAATTCGAATCAAACTTTTATCTTTCAATTTAAATTACAATTTTCTTAATTAAGACAACTGGAAATTAATTAGTACTGAAATGACAGTTCAAGGGTGCTAACTCTTCCTTGACTGTAACCGACTCCTGAATCCGACATATCTTTGGTAAGATGCAAATAAGGTAAGAAATTAAGGTGTCCGATCAACCTATTTTTATTCTTAAAATAAATGGTCGGTGGCGACTGTAACTATTCCATCCAAGTCGAAGCTCAATTCCAGACCCACCCGAAAGACGATACCGACATGGGTTTTGTTGGATAATTTTTCCGTAAGATAATATAATTTAAGATAAAAAAGTGACAAAAAATGTTATAAAAAAACTATAATACGTTGTTGAAAAATGTTATTTTTTAATATTTTTCGTTGAATCTAAAATATTATAAAAATGTAATATTTTAGATTATTAATTAAAAATATTATGGAAAAAGTTTACAACTAAAAAAATATTATATTTTTTATAATATATTCGATCACATCTTTGTTTAACCTTAAATTAAATCATTTTTCTTTATACTCTCTTAATTTTGTTTCTTTTACTGAATTTCTCATTATGGCTATCATCCACAGATTGTTTTTGGCCCAATAGGCCAAACATCAAAATTAATTGGCCTAATAGGTCATAATTGAATTTATTTTACAAACTACGTCAAATGTTATATTGCATGACAAACTCGTCAGGTCGACATGATGAGTTTACTAAAAAAATATTTTTTAATGGTCACAAGTAAGTGGATCCCATGTGGGCTAATATTATAATATATTTTCAGAGACTCGTTATGTCGATGTGGCGAGTCTCATATAAAGTAATTAATTTAAAAAAAAAAACTTTGGAACTCGTCACGTTGAGGTGACGATGTAACACTCAAATCTGATCTGACCCGAAATCCAAAAAATTTGGATATTACACGGAACCACCGAAGTGGTAAACCATTTTTGAAAAAAAAATACCATTACTCGAAATTATAACAAAATATCCATAATTTAAAATGGAACAATTAAGTTTTACAAACGATGAGCTCCCAAAATAACACCTCAAAATACATCAAGTTTCTCAAAAGAGTTACGACTCAATATACTAAAAGGGTATATAAAATATATACCACTAAAATAATCGAGACATACTCTGGACTTGATCAAATCTGGAATCTACACACTGGTAATAGGCTCTTCCGAAGACACATAAGGACATACGAACATAAACAATTTCAAATGATGAGTTACGATGCTCAATGCCACACAAATAACACAACAATACTACAAGCAATCATCAATGTATATACTAACATGTATAGTCATAAATCCATTGGTGTTTCAATTATTGTTCATAATTAACATTTGTTTCATGATCACTATCCAAGTATGAGGGTGTTGCCCTCAGATAGCTAAAGTGCTTTGGCACTAGTACGGAAGTGCCTTAACATTGATACGGAAGTACATTTACACTAATACTAAAATGTCTTAGCATTCTAGATATCACACCCAGATATTCGCAAGCATGTAAGATAGGAAATCGTCATACACTTAAGTAATTCAGGTGTTCGTATCATTTTTTTCGAGTATCAAATAAGGTATAAGTCTTGTGTTATTATACCATTATTAAGGTTCTCACTTGTAATTTATATGCAACTCCTTACTCGCACGAAATCCCTTTTTTTTGGCTTCCTAAAGTAATCAAGGCTCATTACTCAAATTTCACGAGGGTACGGATACTCAGTCTTGGGTATCGCTACTTCCCTCTTAGGGTATCGGTACTTCCCTCTTAGGGTATTTATACTTCCCCGAGTATCGATACTAAAATTCTATTCGATGTTTGATAAATTGTGTGGGTATTGATACTTTCACCTTAGGTATCGATACTTCCCTCTCGTGGTATCAATACTACCCTTAGTATTGGTACCAAAATTACTTTCTATGTTTGGGAAAATATTTAAGTATTGATACTCTTATCTAGAGTATCGATATTGGCCCCTATGTGGTATCGGTACTAAAATTTCCTACTAGAATCTGAAATAATTTATTAGTATTGATACTAAGCTCCGAGCATCGATACTCCTTGAATAGTATCAATACCCCAAGAATGGATATCGATACTCTTTTACAAAATCCTTCAGATTTTTACCCTTTTTTTACGATTAGTATCACTATTGTTCATACGGTACCAATACCCCCTAACCCAGAAAGCCTTATTTCTCTCGTGGATAACTCCCCAAACCACTCCTAAGACCCTTCCAAGGTCCCAAAAGTTATTTAAAGTTTATATAGGTTTAAAGTATTATAAAAGTTCAATCTTTTATTCAAGAAGAACATCAAAATACCCAAATTCATGTCAAAGTCAAAATGCACCCAAATGCTCCATAGATCACATATAAGCAAACAATACGTTAAAGACCCACAAGTGGTATAAATGAGTTAAGTGTGTGTTACCTTAGCATTAGCTTATGAAAAATGCTCACAAGATCACTCAAGCACCAACTTCTCCTTATTCTTGCCTTTTGAGCTTTCACCAACTTCTCTCACTAGTCAAAATAATTATAAATGATTATTAACTAACTTAAAGGCTTTAAATGAGTTGAAATATGATTCTAAACCCTTATAGATGAATTTAAAACATCTTAAGGTCCTAAAACCCTAAAATATCCTTTAAACCCCCACTTTGGGTACCATCACCAACCTTCAAGATTAAGGGCTTAAAATGGAGCTCTAGATAGGGAGATGATGTTTCTTACCTCTTAAAGTTCAGCCTAGGTTGGAAAATTAAAAAAGTTCACTCCTTTGCGTTTCTTACAAAGGAAGGATGAAGAGAGAAAATAGAAGAGAAAGAAGAATGAGACAAGGGAGCATGTTACCTCTTCCACGTGACCTCATCCTCATTTAATGAAAATCACCCTTGCTTTATAGACATGGGTAAAATACTCTTTTAGTCCTCCTTTAATTTCTTTTAATCCAAAAATGTTATTTCTCATCTCACTTGGGCCTAATTCAAGCCCAAATCCTATGTCATTCTTAAGTCAGTTGTCCTACAAGGCTTTTCTATGATTCCGCCAGCCCAAGCAACTTACCTAAAATTATTAACCTAAATTTGTGGTTGTTACAAACGAATTTCCCTAGAATTTAAAAAACTAGTCGTTTATAGTTTTTGGGAGACGGGTAACAGCAACGGTCTTATTTCAACGGGTAAATTGTAACTCATCACGTCGAGGTGAAGAGTTCTATGGGATTTTTAAAAAAATAGTCATTGTGTTTGGGGTTATAAATAGGGGTTTGAGGTTTATGATTTTTATTATGAATTGTCAAGAAAAAATTGAGAAAATTTTGTATTTCTTCACTTAAACTCACTACAGAAGAAGAATGGGGCATTCGTCAATGTGGAATGACACTTAGAGATCTGCATCATCGAATTATTATTATCTTCAATAATTCGGGCTTTCTACGTAGTTTTAATTTGAACCCGTCACTAATTTCGATGCTAATTGAACGTTGAAGGCCCGAAATGCATACTTTCCATTTTTTTAGTGGTGAAGTGATGATTATGTTGAAAATTGTCTCTTACCAACTAGTGTTCCGATTAATGGTACGAAACTAGTGAGACATAACTATATTATGAAGTAAATGAGAAACCATATTTAACAACACCAGAAGAGAGGGAACAATGGGAAGAAATGA